TAACTATGAAACGAAAACGTTAAAATAACATTACCCGTCAAATCAATATTCCAAATAGCCTTGGTAATTTAAACCTCGCGTATTTTCAATAGAAACCTTCAAAATCAAGTGAGAAAACTAACAACTTAAAACCTTCAAGCGTTGGGAAATCGAATTTGAACAATACATAAATGACGTCATCGTCGGCCTTATGTAAAGCCCTTGTTATCTCAAATATCTCAGTTTATGTAAAATGTATTTTTTTTCCCTTAAGGGCCTTGACTTCTCCGCTCAGGCTACTGCGAGACTCGACTCGGTCGCTTTAATAATTTGAATAATTTTAGATTAAATCAATGATAAATATTTTTTTGCAATTAAAAAAAATGCGTGGCGCTACAACCTTTTTAGATCTGGGCCTCAGATTTCTGTATCTGTTTCATGAACATTTATCAATCTAATAGCTGGTCAGCCTCCTGTGCCTGACACACGCTGTCGACTTGTTTGGGTCTGAGCCGGTTTTCTCTCGAGCGAATGTAAAATGGACACATATAATGAAAGTCTATTGGTGAGCTCAGCCAGGGATCGAACCTACGGCCAACACCGCTCTTTTTTTGCAATCAGCTAAGACTATACACCTATCTCTTTTCCTCACAGCAAAAACACAATTTGACAGAAAGAGACGATTAGACTTATTTCGTTTGTATAGAGTAAACAAAAATACAGGAAACATATATAGCAAAATATTACACACGACCCAATTCCTGGCCCGTGAACCCGGGGCAAACTGGAACAACACCTTAATAATACCTACCTGAGCCAAATCTCCCCTCCTCTTAACATAAGAAACCTTAGGTGAAATATTAAGCCTAGATTGCTAAAAGCAAAACTCGCAACTAGAAAAGAACAACCTAGGCAGATGTTTTTTTTAACCTGGCCTTACAAATTGTTTAATAATACTAAACCAATATTTATATTTTATTATTATGTTTTTAACCGACTTTAAAAAAGGAGGAGGTTATTACTATCTGGAGTTGGGTATATTTTTTAAGGAATTTATGCTTCCGTCCATGTTTTAGTATGTAAAGAAATAATTATATTTCTTAAATTAGAATTTTCTCAGATTATTAATTATCTATGTTGTGTTAACAGATGTTTCATTTAATTTGTTTGTTAGTCTGTAAAAAAAGACGCCAGTTTTGTTTGTCTATGTATGTGTTAGTAATTTAAATTTGGATACGAAGATTTGTGAGTACATTTTGGATTGATTGATAAAAGTGAATTTCAAGTAAAATAACAAACTCTAAAAGTTATTTCTTAAAATACATACTTTTGCTTTTTGTTTTACACAACGTTTGTAAGGAGCTGCAACCATAATACACTGTTCCACATGACATCTTAAGTAATAAATAATAATAAAATAAATTAAAAACAAAGATTTGTCCTCTATCAGCAGTAGGCATGGTGAAATAGGAGCACGCACTTACATTCTCGTGGGATTGTATCCTGAACTCATCTTTCTTTTCTTTTTTTAACCCAATAGCTAGAACAATCCTAACAGTAGGTACGTCAAAAATGTATTAGATTTTGACATGGTAATCACAGTCGTATTTTATTTTTTAGGCCAAACTTTTGGTTTTTATTTTTTTTATGATACAGCATACAAAACACATACAACCCTTAATTGTAACCCCTCTACCACCATCCCCTATTTATTATAGTAGATAGATATTTTTTTGAACTAAAATTTTTTTCCTACAAATAATACACATGGCAAAACAACGTTTGCCGGGTCAGTTAGTAATTCCATAATAAACACATTGAATAAGCATTAAACGTTATAAAAAGGCCGTTACAACGGAAACTTTATATACTTTCAGATTTCTTAAATAATTACATTATTTTAAAATATAAGACGTCATGATTACGGAAGGGATTTTTAATACATGACGTCAATATAGGAAGAGTGAAGGTTACCTTAAAATAAATAAAATTCATTGTTTTACGATTGAATATCATAAAGGAATTGTCGGAACTGTGACGCATGCATCAAGATTGTTTTTTTTTGTAACAGGAGGCAAACGGGCAGGAGGCTCATCTGATTTTAAGTTATACCGCCCCCATCACATTGCCAGAAGGCTGGCTTTTAAGAATTGGTGCGCTCTTTTCTTGAAGGACCCCAAGTCGAATTGGCGATGAAGCCTTTCACTTTTCTTGTAAAAAAATTATATTTTTCTTCATTCGATTCCCAGAAAAACAAAAGGGTCTAAGACATGTCGGTTTCCTCACGATGTTTTCCTTCACCGTTCGAGCGAATGTTAAACGCGCTCATAGAAAGAAAGTCTATTGTTGCACAGCCGGGGATCGAACCTACGACCTCAGGGATGAGAGTCGCACGCTGAAGCCGGTCGGTCGAAAAAGTCGGTCCAGCCGTTTAAGAGGAGTTCAGTGACATACTCGTACAGTAGAATTATATATCTATAAAGATATATTAAAACTCGTCGCAGTGTTATCGCACGATTGTTACGTGTTAATACAGTTCTTACTTCAGTACACCGGGGTACTGTAGTAAGAACAGTAAAAATGTCACATAATAATAATTATTATTATTAATTTGACATTTTTACACATTTATATTTCTGCCTCATTTTTTTAGGTGTGTGCCCTTTTTGGCCTCTTCCAAATCCCGCCATCCCTCTCGCCACTCTCTGCCTTATACTACCTGCTATTTTTTTTAATTTAACCCGGACGTATTAAATAATACTGTTATTAATAAAAAATAACAGTAAATACGTATATTAAAACCGTGCAACTTTACAAATAAACAAACGTGACCTATACACATTCCGACACCAAAAAATATAATTTTAACAGTTGTCTATTGTAAAATTCACCTTGAATTAAAATTTCTTAAAATATAATTTATTCAGCGTTTCAACCTTGATTTGTTATTTAACTTATAGTAAACATGATATGTTTAACGGATTTAACTATCGTAGTGAATGCGACGTATACGTTAATGTTTTAAAAATAAGTGGGGAACATCAAAGATTAGTGACTCAACAGTGTATATACATAATAAATTTTATTTAACAGCCATATAAGACAGCCCATGAGCACCCATGCAGGGTGCATCGGTACTTGGAGGTTGAATCTCCTTGGGAAGACCACTGGAATCCGATTCCACAGTTCGAAAATTCCAATTGTGAATTGCCAAAGGTAGAACGGATTAGAAAGATTTAACGAGTTGGTGATGTTTACGAAGAGATGGATGCGTATGCGTCTATACGCATACTTATGAAGAAAAGAGGCAAAAGCTAGCAACGCACTTGCGAACCTTCTGGCAATGTGAGTGTCTATGGGCGGCGGTATCACTTAACATTAGATGAGCCTCCAGCCCATAAAAAAACTGAATAGAAAAACTTTTTGTTTTTTCCCTCATTTTTTTTCCCCCCAATGGTAAACCCGCCCCCCCCCCCCCCCCCCCCCCCCCCCCCCCACCAGGGAGCCCCCCCCCCCCCCCCCCCCCCCCCCCCCCCCAAAATCTTTTTTTTTTTTTTTTTTTTTTTTTTTTTTTTTTTCCCCCCCCCCCCCCCCCCCCCCCCCCCCCCCCGCGGGGGGGGGGCCCCCCCCCCCCCCCCCCCCCCCCCCCCCCCCCCCCCCCCCCCCCCCCCCCTTTTTTTGCCGCCCCCCCCCCCCCCCCCCCCCCCCCCCCCCCCCCCCCCCCCCCCCCCCCCCCCCCCCCCCCCCCCCCCCCCCCCCCCCCCCCCCCCCCCCCCCCCCCCCCCTCCCCCCTCCCTCTTTTTGGGGGGGTGCTAAGTCTAATGACAAACACGCGACACGATCCGTTTTCATGTTAGGCCGATGAAATTCAAACGAAACCTAGTCACCTATTCAGAATTCATAAATAATAAAATTAATTCAATAGTAATTAAATTGTCGAAGGCCGTTTACAAAAACCTTCAAATGACAGTGAAATTGATACAGTCACAAAAACATGTTATTCTTTAATAAAAATTTATTAAAATATCGTTAAAAGTAATAAACGGTAAACATATTTTTATTTTATAACTATACAAAATAGTCGTTTATTAAAAGCTGAAATAAAAAATTTGTTTATTCATTATAAACAATTCATTATAAGATTTGGGAACCCTTTTAATAAATACCTGTATCAGGGTTCCCAGCTCTTCCATAATAACCTTAATAGTTAATACCATAATAATTTTCTTTTCTAGTACAATATAGATTTTTTTAAACTGTTTACAACATCTCCAAATTTTTTTAACAAAATGCTTACGTGACGTCACACGCGTTAGTGCATGCGTGTGTGGATGCACGTGAGTGTGATGTGTATGAATGTGTTAACTACATGTTAGATCTCAGAAGCATCTCCTGCGTAAGGTGTGTTTATAAGCCAGTCCTTTAAACGTTTTTTTAAGATTGTAGACGTTGAATTGGGTAATAAACAAGTGAAAGACACTTAAAACATTATGTAAAGATTTATAAATGAAATCGTAAGAACGAACTTTCTTAAATTTTCAAAAATTTGTCATAATTATTAATCTAACGACTCGTTAATACATACAATAATTTAAGGTTTTCGTGTTACAATATATGGGCTATAATTAAAATGTGTTAACGATAAAATCGCTAATTATTAGAGGAAATGGAATACCACCATTAATATACCGGTTTGTATGTTAATGTCAACGAAACATTGTATATACACGTGAGAGTCAGGAGTTTTAAAATCGAGACGACAAATCTTTAAATCGCTTCAGAGCCTATTTTATAGCTTGTTTCTATCGTATAATTATTTATATTTTTTTAAACACAGACCATAAATATGAAACAGCGCAATTCCTGAACACAATTTATAAATATTTGACAGTCAAGTCACAATATTTTATTTCTAAAAAAACAAAAGACATCAAATATTTTGAAGCTAGAAACGAAACAAATGAAATTGTTCCGTTTAAACCTACCCTGAACTCCCACAAGTTATATATAGATAGACTTTACTATGAAACTTGACTGACCTTTGTGCAGAAAGAGCAGCCACAACCTGCTATCACAGTAACTTTATCTGGTGTAGCGTCTTCTAAACATAGCATGCAATTTATCGGCGCTGCTGCGATGAACCCACCGCCTGCGCCATCCAGTGAATACCTAAAAATAATAATTTATCAGTCTACGGGAAAATTATGTTCCGTAATACGAATTAATACCACTCGAATAACACCGACCGAGCTGTCCAATAAAATCTATTGAACTATTAATAACTATAATTATATATGCTAAAAATAGTGCAACTTTGATACGACGTTTATCGGTAGTTAAAGATTTGAATTTACATAACGTTTCCATTAATATTTTTTGCTACAATTACACATTAATACCATTTTTACACGCTTTATATTAGCTTCACCTGTATGTATGTATGTATGTAACCGACTCCTTCGGACTCGATTTTGACCCACTTTAAACGGACAGATTTAATTCAAACTTTGTACACTTATAAAGAATCAGCGACAATATAATAATTTCATAGGTTTATCTCGAAAAAACAATGAAATTTTTTTAAAGTTTACAAAGCAATACGATTAAATTAAGACAACACGTATTGCTGCTAGGACTAAAAGTGGAAAATAAATATAGTTTAAAAAAAACTAAAAAACACGCTTTTAAGGCACATCAAACTAAAAAGTAATTCCTAATTTAGGCTGAAAATGGTAATGAACAAAAAATACTGGTATTATTGTGAAAAATCGTGGGTTGCTCGATAGACGAAAAATATGGCACAGAGTATTTTTGGCACTTTTTAGTTTGATGTGCTTTAAAAGCGTGTTTTTTAGTTTTTTTTAACTATATTTATTTCACTCATACATTTGCAACGTAATAAGATTCTTAAAGTTAGAAACCACAAAAAAATACCGGAAAACATTATTTATCTGTTTCCCAAGACATCTGTACAAAGATGAAAACTGTCTCACAGACAAGTCTTCATGGATATTATCGTCCTCTTAATCATATTGCAAAAGACCTAACAGCTTCCAAATAATACTTTGTTAAACTCATTGTTTGGTTCTTCAAGTACAAATCACAAAAAAGACAAAACCGGAAAAATATTACTATATATGTCGGAGATTTAAGATTTATTTATCAATTTCCTTGATAACTTTATTATAGATGATAAGAGCGTACTAATTCTTAAAAGGCCGGAAACGCACTTGGGAGCCTTATCATCCGTATCCGTATCACTTAACATCAGATGAGCCTTCCGTTTGCCTACTGACGCACATCGGGTTTTGCGTCTTCACCGCGCTTCACGATGTTTTATATATATAATTAATAGAAAACTGTATACACCGAATTTGAAACCATGAACTCTGGGTTGAGAATCGCCTAACTGCTAAAACTAGAAACGACAGCATTATTTTTTTGGCCCTAATCGGATACCTCTTCCGTGCCAGGCACGAAGCTTGCTGAAACGTCAACTATACGTAGAACAATTGGTCGTTTCCAGAATTTATTTCAGATTGTATTAAATATTCAAGAGATTATATCAATGTAGATTCCAATCAAAAATCTGGTATATAAAACTGTAATAATGAGTTTTATTCTGAAGAAATGAAGCACATAAAAGCCCACCTTTGCGCAACTACGCCTCCTGAAGACACATATCTTATCAAATGTAAAATCATAAGTCTCTTTTTTATCTCAAAGATAAGTCTTAATAGATCCTATCATCCTCTAAAGTACACCACATAGCAGCTAGCACATATAGTATTTGTAAAAACGCTTGTATGTGGAGGTGGTGATATACGTCTTTCTAGAAATCACGAGTTAGCAAATCTTCTTATATCTCCTTGCGAAGATTGGCGATCATCATGGCAAGTTTAATTTTGGATGCCGCGCATCTGAACAACGACTTGATGCTTTAACCAAACCATTGTCTCAAGTTTTTCAACCAGGACGTGCGTCTGCGGCCAGGTCTCCTTCTACCTGCCACTTTGCCTTGTATGATTAGTTGAAGGAGCTCGTATTTTTTGGAGTTACGTAAAACGTGTCCGAAATACTCAAGGTTCCTTTTCTTAACCGTCATAAGCACTTCTTTGTTCTTCTGCATTCTGCATTCTTAGTTAGCAAATAGCGGAGGTAATTTCAACCGACATTGTGGCAACAATTTAAAGTTTTATCCCAAATAAAAACTATAAAAATATTGAAATGGAAAACCAGCACAAAAGAACCGAATTAGGGCGTTAAGATGGGTAGACGAGAACACAGCACTAGTGGGTGGGTGGTGGTATTGGACGTCGGTGGACCAGGGTAGCCGAAACCAGACGAGGTGAAGTCGATTGAAACAGACTTTTGCTAAATGTGGGCATAGTAGAAAACGTCTGTGAATAATACGTAACTTCTGCAAATAAAGGTTTATATAATAACAACTTGTCAACAAAAATTGAAGGACGATATAAGTACAGATATAAGAAATAAAAAGTTATTGATGCCCTATCCCATTTGCAAAAAACTTGTCAAACATTTGCAAAAGTGGAAATGTTCGGGCAACACCGCTCGCATCAACAATGGTAGATGGACAAAGTGGGTAACAAGGTGGAAAGGGCCACCAGCGAAGAAGGTCGCCCTCTTCCACGGGCTGACGAGTTTAAAGAAGTTGGTGGAGAAGATTGGAAAACAAATAAAAAATAGAGAGAGATTGAGCCACGATAAATGGTTCTTGGGAAAAAAATATGATTATTTTGTGTGTATCTATTATAAAAATGGATAAATGTTTCAAGGACATAATGAGGCTTAATTATTATTATTAATACAAATAAAATACACACCTAGATCCACCAGCACCAGCCAATGAAAGAAGCGAAGAGCATCGGGAGCAGACGGAAGGAGCCCTCAGTCTGTTGTGAGCTCTTATCGGCTCTGGGACCTTTTCACGGTCTGTCAGAGCCAGCACTGTCGAGCACTTTCTTAGACCTGTGTAAAACATACTTTAGTTACTAACAGAATATTTTACACCTCTATATATATACGTAGTAATGTTCAATAGGCGTTGTGCTACGCACTAATAATAATTCTTTGGAAATAAATTTTACATGAGCCAAGTAAATTTAAATTTATTGAATTTTTTGCTTCTACTTAATACACAGTTATGTTAGTACAAGTTTAGTTTAGCTATCGCCATAAAATCCAACTATTAAGTGTAAGAAATTTATCTTATTTATTTAAAATTTATCTTATAATTCGTTTATTAGTAATTTATATCTATATCTAGAAGTACAATATGAGTAACAGTTTGGCAGGGTCAGTATGTAACTAAATATTCAGGAACAACTTGACTCGATAAAGGTTATTAAATTATGGCTTAATTTTAAAGGCAAGTTGTCTTTATAGCGTGGGAGAGTTTTAAGATCAAAAGTTTTGACAACAATTATAAATAACTTGACTGTTCTTATTGTTATGACATTATGATAAATAATATGACATTTGCATACTATTCTTATATGGCTGTTTGTATGTTTTTTTTTATAATTAATCAATCTCTATGTACCACTTTCTTTGCAAATAAAGATTTATTATTATTACTACATTTATTTTTTAAACATTTTGTAGATATTGATATGTTCTTTAATAATGTGGAATTTTGTTTTGTTCTATCATCAATAATTTTCGCAGCGCATGCGATGAAAGATATTTTATAGGCATTTTTTACACCTTGAGTAACATTATTGTAGTTTTAGTAGGGATCCTTATTTTTAAATATTAGTATAGATTATCACAAATGTAATAATACATGTGAAACCTGATGTACTTACGATAGGCATTTCAAACATTTTGTGTTCAATGAGAAAAGCTATTTTAATAAATAGAACATAATATTATATATCCAACTTACTTGGCAATGCACTAAAAATAATAACTGACGTCATGAGTAACACCGGCTGGGCTTGCCCCAACAAATTCCATATAACATACAACATTATTATAGTACAGAAGTTCAGTTTACGTTTACATAAACTAGATGGCGTATTTCCAGAAATACTATAACTAAACCAGCTGCTTGTATTAACAAATGGTACAATTCTAAGTTCACGTTCGCAATTTTTAAATAGATACCTTCGAGCAAGGGCTGAGGCTGGGACAACACCGAATCCCTTGAAGCTGCTCTTCGAACTGGTTTGTTTTGTCTAGCCAAGGACTTCAGACCACCGCTCAAGATGAGCTCCAATGCGCGACGACCGCCTGGTCCATTCGCACCTGCTCCCATCTGTAAATAATAATAACTTTGAATAATACATACTGCTGCCATGCTAAGTATTATCGTACCGTTAGGACTTCTAGGGGTGTTCAAGAGAAGAGCGTACCACTACCTTAGGGAGCGTTGAAGTATTACGTAACGAATTTTGGGAGGGGGGGGTCCATTTGTAAAACGTTACGATGCGGGGCCGGGATTGAATTACGCATTATTGTTAATATTATTTTCGACTTTTCAGTACTTTACACTACATAATAGTAACTTTTAGGTATAAAGAGTCACTAGGTGGTCACGAAACGTTTTACTATTGGGTACAGAAAAACGTTACGGCGCGTTACATTGGGGGGGGTCAATAATCTCCAAAAATTGCGTGACGTAATACTTGAACGCTCCCTTACAGGCTGTCAACGCACTTGCAAATTTCGTAGTATTGCAGGTGTTGACGGAGATGAACTTAACTCTATGTAACCTGCACGTTTGTCTTCTATTCCATGAAGTCATTTCTTAAGTAACTTTAGGAGCCCAAAAATACTACTGTGGGCACTGTTATTAACAGATATTAATAGACGATACAAGTTGTACGTTCTGGAGTAAGATACATCAGTGTTAGGATAAGATTCAGACTCGAGAATTGTCTCGTACTATGAATGTTTATGACATATGGGAGTTATTGTAAACGCTAAATCTTGATTCAAATTTTACATACAGATTAAGGGCACCAGCTGGGGCGCATGGGGGCTACTAACTTGACTATATTGCTTTAGGCCATTAGGAACATAGCAGAAGGAGAAGAAAGCGCCCTACAAGGCAGATAGAAGATATAGAAGCGTTAGTAGGAAGCGAATAGAGAAAGAAAGCCATAGATAGGAAAATTTGGATAAAGCTGGAGACCTATACCAGTGATGGGATTCCGATCAATGGTACTGAAGGAAGTTAGGATATCGGGCTTGTTACCCGTATAAAATGTATATTTGTCTGGGACTGCTCGGATTAACAGGAAATGTTCGGATCCAGTCAATTGGCCGTTGATTTTTATTGTAACTTTAGTTAATAATTGAGATTTCTTCTATTAATTTAAAGAACCCTTATTTATTTTGATTAGATTTGTTTTGTTATTGTTTAATTGTTTCATAATTTGGAATAATTACTTAACGAATAAAAGTACGAATATTGTTATGAACAATCAGAGCAGAGCAAATGCCTTGTGTGGGGTCGAGGCGCCATCTTGACTTTGGACGGCGATTGAGTATTCAGCAGTGGAGCATTGTGATGATGAGATGTTGGACCCAGTTGGGTCTATGTAATTTGTGGTTGAGTAGATACAAATAAAAAGTGAAATCGGTCCCTTGAACCCGCTGCTCAATATACTTAAAGATAAGTGTTATTTGCAATGTTAATGAAATCAATCTAAATTAAATATACGATAATTATTTGTGTCTTTTGTGCTCGCACTATACCCACATAACGCGCACTATTCTCACTAATGACGATGTCCATGTCGATGGAGTGACGATTTCTCCGACACATAACAAATCTACACTGTATATTGTCAACATTTGTAAAGATTGGAACTAAACGGGCATTTATTATTCGGGACATTACCTACTAAATCTATATATATATATATAAAATTCTCGTGTCACAATGTTCGTTCCCATACTCCTCGGAAACGGCTCGACCGATTCATATGAAATTTTTTATGCATATTCAGTAAGTCTATTAAACCCCTAAGTGATAGATAGATATGGATGTCCACCCAAAAAAACATTTTTATTTTTTCGACAATTTTTTTATTTTTTTATGATAAATCATACAACCATTTATTTTCACCCCTCTACGATCAACCCCTATTTTTTTATTGATGATAGTTATTTTTATTGAACTAAAATGTTTCCTAGAAATAATATATTTATACATGGCAAAACAAACGTTTGCCGGGTCAGCTAGTTATATCTAAATCCCTTACCAAGTTCGTCGAAGTTCGATAAATTCTCGGAATGAATGACATTTAACATTACATATTCTGTGTCAACAAAGACAATGAACAATACGAAGTTCAGGTTCGGGGTCAAGCCGAAAGGCGAGAAATTTTCGGAAACTCATTAAGATTCAGTTATTTCCGCGGTTCGAATAGGGTCAGTGGCACTGAGTAGGGTTGCCATTTATTAACAAAATAAATTTCGCTGTTAATTTTCCGCTTTATGTACTGACAAAATATTATTAATTGTTTTATTATAGAATCAAATAAAACCATTTAATGCTGATGTAAAGTATAACATATTTAGTTATTTATAAACGAAAAAGAGGAAGACAATTTAGAAGGTGGATACACCAGATTAAGGAAGCAGCAGTTGCTTGCATGGCAGATAGTGGCACAATGCAGACAGCAATGGCGAGATATTGAGGAGACCTTTGCCAATAAAGGTGTCTAAAAAGTAATAATAATAATAATTATTATTATTATTATCTTACCTAGCTTGGAAACCAGTCTCCCAATACATTCTTAGATAAAGAATTATTATTAAAAAAGTATGGGATAGATAAATGTGTTTAAGTGTAAAAGTATCTGAAATAAAAGGCTGTTATTATTATGTAATTTCTTGTCCTTCGACAAAGGAATATTTTTTTTTCAATTTTGGCGTTCTTTAGTGTTTGTTCTATCATATGAAACTTACAATGCCATGGATCTTTTATGAAACTTGACGCTGCGAAATATTTCAATAAAAAAAATACCTCTAATCGTAAAACCTTTGGATTTTTTATATATCGGTAAAATATATATACCTAATATAAAATATAACAATAAAACAGACGCTTGGCCCACCTAAGTAATAAGCCTGGACACACCTGGACAGGAGATGCCTATTTAACCGCCGCTTAAATGAACCCATATTTAACTGTCTAGGGTAGATGAAAGGCAAAGGGTCGTTCAAGTATTACGTTAGCACTATAGGGGGGAAAATCGAAGATCTCCCATCTTGATTATGTCAAGATTAATTATTTACTTTTTACACATATTATCTATGCTTAAAAACGAAATGCATTTTCGAGGATTCCTACAAAAAATTAATACTATTATGTACTATTATTTGTGAGAGCATTGCTTACTTTTGCTGACAAGAGGGGGGGATAAATAGCAGTAAATCCGCTTTCGTAATACTTGAACGGCCCCAAAGGAGTTCCACTGCTTTGCTGTTTTTACAAAAAACGCCGAACTAAATCGTGCATCCAACCTGGGGATGTCAACAACGAAGGGTTGAAACTCCAGCGTGCTTCTAGATGAGCGTTGTTTGAATTTATTATAAATATAAGTTTTAATTTCTTTATAATAACGCAACAGACATCCCTAGACATCACTTTCATTTCGTTAGAGCAAACATTAATTTTTGCAGTTTACATTAGTAACAAAATCTGGGTTATTCATGACTAATCACATGTAATCACAAAATATAACCAAAGAATATATATAAACGTTCTTTCTTATTTTTTTAATTATTTATTAACGACTTACGTATAAAATAAATAAATAAGTCAGTGGCGCTACAACCGTTTTAGGTCTGGGCCTCAGATTTCTGTATCTGTTTTATGATGATTTGTCTAAAAGGCAAGTAGTTGATCCGCATCCTGTGCCTGACACGCCGTCGAATGTTTTTAAAACTTTGAACTCATCTCTTTAATAAGTCAAGTAAGTTATTTGTTAATCCAGCATCGCCCCCTACACTACACTACCCCTAATGTTATCTTAGTTATAAATGTAACCCTTGGTATTTTTGTTATTTAGTTTTATTCTTTACGAACAGATAAAAAAAAGTGCGTGCGTACAAAGTACACATGTCAGAAGTGAAACTTCTTTGGCAAACTAATTTTTATGTCTCGTTCATATTTATACAAATCTAAAACTTTAATTTATTTCTTCGAGAATATAAACACGTGGCATTTTAATTTACAATTTTTTTCGAGATTTCCATAAATTATTTTGTATAAAATACTAAAGTACTTTATGAAATACATATAGACCACAAGCCCATGAACAAAAAATACCTGTGAAATGACCCAACGTGAATTACGTTTAGAAGGCTGTTACTATATCTGAAAATAACTCTGAGCACTATGCCGTCATTTCTGAGCGGTACATGTGAGTACGTGAGTGAATGGACTTTCTTAGGTACAATTGGGGAATTTCGACTAATTATTAATGTACGGCTTTGTTATAAGTGTATAGATGATTAAAAATAAATGTCGAAAAACCTAGTGCCGTACTAAAGTGATGGTGCCGGAAGTCGGTGCAAATTTTTAATTCGACGACAGTTGCAGAAGCAATATAGGTCATTTATTACTGTACGGCATTTGTGTGATTCCTTTTGGACACATATACAGATACTTTACCCGTAAACGCCGTACATATTTCCAGCGGAGCGGTCGAAAGCCAAGGGTCGCAACATATGTCTGATTAGCATATAGGTGATGATGATATAGAACAACATAAAATTAAATGATCTTGAGAGTACTTCACAAATAGATAATATTTTCCAGGATGCCGTACATTTTTCGTGGAACACATAGGTGTATGGGGTAAATTACTTCACTCTGAAAAGAGTCATTTTCCGGTGACTTTTATCTGTACGGCAGTAACACAGGTTATTAGTACTTTAGACAATCTTCAATAAAAGATAAGTGCCGTACACTTTCGATAGTCCGCTAGTCTATGAAATGGCAGATTATACCACCGCCTACCAATACAAGGCGTCCCAAAGTTATGGGACATGAAAGGAAAGTAGCTTAAATATCGTAGATAGGGTATTTTACTAAAAGAAGACTTTATGTTATTTTTAAAAGTTAGTAATTCTGCATTCAAAGATTTTCTAAAAATTACTTGCCTCGTCTGGGAACTGAACCGACTTAAATGTAAAAAAAACACCCCTACTTTTATGATGCCAATCGAAAGAATGGCCAAAAACTAATAACTTTTCTTCAGTAATATAGTATTTTAAAAGAAAGGAATTGCATGAATA